GGGCGTAGGGAAGGGAGATGAGGCGCTTGATTCCTCGTTCTGCCAGGTAGTCTTTGAACTGCTGTGACGTATATTCCCCTGCTCCATCTGACTGGAAGCTCTTTAGCTTTACGCCTGATTCTCGTTCTGCTACTGGAAGCCATGCGACGAAGGCTTCGAAAGCCATGTCGCGACTCGGAAGGTTGAGGTGCCAGACGTATTGCGTGGCGGCGTCGATGAAGGTGATAACGTAGTTATACGCTCCTTGACCGGGTTCGCAATTGTACAGTATATCGCTGTAGACCTTCTCTAAAGGTGCGTACGCCGGTGCACTTGGGTTGTGGTGAGAGACAAAGGGCTGATGCGGTAAGTCTGCTTCTGGGCAGGTGAAGCAAGTTCCTCGCATTCGTCGAAGTTCTCTGCCGTCGGGTAAGAGTAGTGAGTCTTTATCAAGAACGCCTGCTCGTATCGTGTTGTTTAACATCGTGTTGCTCGGATGTCCCATTCGTTTATGCCAGAGATCTTCGTCAGCGCGATGTCCGGGTGAGCGTCGGTATATGTCGGAGTTGGAGTAGAAGCCTACGGTGTAGTTTGCGCTTCGATGGACTTCTCGTGGAGTTGGATTCAGCTGCTGCGCAAGAGTCGGTGGTGTGTTGTCGACGAAGACCGGTGCCGTTGAAGGACCAGCGATTGGTGCCGATGTTGTCTCTGCTGCTGCCGATGTTGTTTCTGCTGCTGCCGATTGAATTGTTGCTAATGCTCTCGTTCTTTCTGTTTCAGGTATGGTGTGTGAATACCAGAAGCCGCCCAGACTGAAGTCGGGATCAAGATCCGGGGGATGTGTCCAGGAAGTGAAGGTCACAATTCCGTCGCTGTCGGCGGTGCCAAGGTCTGGAACGAAGTCGAGGACGAAGACGTTGTTCTTCAACACAGCTTTTCCGATGTAAAGTCCGCCTCTCCCGTGGTACAACTTGAACTCCTGGGTGGTGCTGTCTGCTTCGAGGTGAATCCCTTTCGCCATCAGTTGACTGACACTCAGTAAGTTGTAGCCGAGTCCCTCCGCGATTAAGACCTTTTACATCTGTAGTATCACGTCTGTTTCTCTTGACTGAAGTTGAACAACTCCTTGCCGTCGTGTGCGCAGGTTTTGATTGTTGGCGACGGTGATGACGACTTCGCGCTGGAGTTGATGTTCGCGTTGAACGAAGCGACCCGAGGAGCACATATGCTGTCCGCAGCAACTGTCCAAGAACCAAGTGTCTTTCCCGGACGGTTCGCTCTGGGCGACGGCTGCGTATGTCGGGTTCGGCTCCAGTGTCTCGCGGCGAGGAGTGCTTTTGTCAAGTTGTTCTTCTGGTGAGTAATGCGGTGGTGATTCAGTGATGCAGGAGTCTGGCAGTCTTGCCATGCAGCTCACGATGTTTCTTGCTCCTTGCGCAGGTTGCGTTGTTGTCGACGTTCCTTGAGCTTGAGGAGTGGGATGGGCTTGTGTCGAGGCGACTTGACTGCTTGAAGGCCGAAGTTGTCGTTGCAGTGGTGTTGACTGTCGCAGACTTGGGCAGTGTGTACGGGGATGTCCAGACGTCTTGCAGAGATGACAGAACGGCGGTACGTGCTGCTGCTGTTGTTGTTTGTTTTGTCGGTTGGAGTTGTTGAAGCGCCGTTGGGTGTGGAATGCGAATTCTGGTACTGATGCCTTTTTCTTGTGTCGTTCCTCGTGCAGGTCCATATCTTGTTGTTCGGCGTGAATTTCGGCGCAAAGTGCCCCTTTGGAGATCTTCCCATGAGCTCGAAGAATAGCTCGAGTGGAGCGCCAATGAGGACCAAGACCAGTGATGACAACTGTGACGAAGGCTTCTTCAGATATTGATCCTCCGCATCGAAGGAGTTTGTCGCGCAATTCGCGGCAACGGCTGATATATGCCATTCCCTTTTCGCCGGGTTTCATCTCCACTGTTGTCAGCTGTGCCATTAACCGAATCTGATTGACGCTGTCTGTTGCTTGATACAGGTTCTTCAAATGGTTGTACGCGAGCTCGGCGGAGTTGCCGTATCCCCGATAAGAGCGGATGTTCTGCTGCTGGTTTAGAGTTAGATTCCTCAGCAGGATCGTGTATGTCATCATTGACTGATACGTGTACTGCAGCTTGTCGTATTGCGTTCCGTGTGTTGGGTATGGCAGGGACCCGTCGAAGAATCCAAGTATCTGTGCGCCTTCCATCATCAGCTCGAATTCAAATGACCAGGTATAGAAATCCTTTCCGTCTAAAGGTGTTGATGTCTGAAGTTTTAAGACGTGCGCGAACTGCGACTGAACTTGGAGTGCGTCCAATGTATTTTCTTGTTCAGGTGAAGGCTGTTGACGCGGCACAAAGCTGATGGAGCCACGTTGGGGCTCGTACGGAGCAAAGGTGGGCTGCTGTTGGTTTCCGCGCGCATAGGATGAACCGACGAGGCTCATTGGTGTCACATCGTTGTTGTTGTTGCTGTTGTTTGACTGCGCAGGTGCCCCTTGCTGGTGTTGTTCGTAGAAGGACATGAAGGAGAAGAACTTCTCCATCATGCTTGGGTCGAAGCCCGCGGCTTGATTTGCGGGAGTTTCAGTAGACCCAGCTGTTGGTCTTGTTGCCGTGCCCTCCTCTGTCTGTAGCCCAGAGGCAGGAGGTGGAGTAGGAGTAGTACCGGGAGAGCCGTTAGAGGAGCTTCTCTCCTTCTGAGTTGCCATGTCTTCTGATGTTGTGGGTGTCTTGGAAGTAGTTGAGTTTGCCCTGATAGCTCTCATACCATGTTGGGCTGAGAAAAGCCTTAGGATATTTGCAGGGCTAAAACTCTGGGTAGTTGCGGAAGCGTTTTGATAAGAAGTATTGAACCACCTTGCGCTGGTATGTGAGGGCAAAGTAGATTGATTAAAAACAAGGAGATACAAGGTTTTATAAGAGTACAAGGAATATGAAGAGATACAGCCAATAACTGTTTTACTGTTGCTGTTGCGGTTGGATACAGTTACGACTCGGGCAACTGCTCTGTATCGAGTCAGTTGTTTGTCCTTGCTGTCGCACTGTATTGTTAAGTCAAAGGTCGCTGACCTTTGACCTTCGCGTAACCTCCAGCGGTTACTTCAGCTGTCAACCTCCGATGGTTGACTCGCCGATGCTTCGTTTGTGCTTCGCTTCGTTTACGACTTGATGTTTCGACACAGCAGAAGCGCTTAAATCACTTATTTCCAACATTCTTAACAACGAAGAAAATATATATACATATATATACCACCCGGGTGTTTTCACATGGCATATCTTTTTTTTTTTTTTGAACACTCCAGTCTATAACAATTCGTATAAGTTACATATCTAATTGGCAAATCTTCTCGTTGTAAAATGCTATCTGCTACCATATTTGTTAATGGTACTTCTCCTGTAGGGATAAGCCTGGATTTATTATCCCTATAATTCATCGGCTAGTTTTGGTGATTGAGCCATATTATACATAGCTTCGGGCCTAACTAATGTAGGCGGAGAAATTTATTCAAATCCGAAATCGGTAGTATGAGTATCTAGCATAAATTTGAATAAACACGTTCTAAGCTTGCTAATTCTCCCTTAAGGGTAACAAATCTACTGCTTGAATTTTTATTTGGGGGTTTGTTTTTTTTTAGCACCAAGCTGTCAGAGGTGCACTTGAGTTCCCCGATTGATCCTAGGGAAGGGTTACAGGCACGTTGTCCTGGGGGGGGTTATGAGCGCACTCACCCGCGACACAAACAAGCTCTTTTATCCAAGTGGTTAGTGGTTGGGATTCTGACACAAGCCAACAAAACATTGTCCACTTGGAATGCTGCCAGGTGGACTTCACCACACACAGCAAATTCACCCCCTAATACCACAAATTTGCCCCCTGAATCTGCGAATTCGCCCCCTGACGCAGCAAACTCCCCCCCTGATACTGCAAATTCACCCCTCAACAATTCAAATTCGCACCCTAGCATGTTTCAGTTTCAAATGAATGATTGGAAATTTACGGTACATGGAAAACCCCCCTATGGAGGAAGGGGGGGATCTTATATTGATTACCTCTCAAGGGGGGGGGGGGGGGGGGGGGGAGGGGGGGGAGCGAGGCTTAATACATCCCCCCCCCCCCCCCGCATATTAGCTGACCAGGGGTGTTTTATTTCGGGGGGGTCTTCTATCCAAAGGGATACGATATATACGTTTTCGGATGGAACCCCTTGAGTTTTGCGAGGGCTTTTTTTCAGTGTTTGGAAAGAATGGGTTGACCAATGCGTCCGCAATCGTATAAACCATAACTTCTCCCTCTAAAAAAAACACTGCTACAAAGAAGCCACTTCATATTTGGGGTTGTGTGCCTTTTATAACATTTTGAGTAGCACACAAGCAATGCAGTAGAATTGCTGCATTACGTTTTTACAAAGGGGGGTGGGGGAGGATACGAACATATCCGAAGCATCACGAAGCTATCCAAGCTTTGGGAAAAACGGTTATTGCAGCATCACTTGCGACTTGTATTGCTTCTCAACCCTAATGCACACATTCCGTTCTGCGTACTTTTTAAGATGGTATCACGCCTTAGGTTCGTTCCCTCGCCTCGCCTAGCCTAGCTCGCTCCGTCCGTGGCGCCTCACGCCCTGGGTTCCGCCCTCCCTCCTAGCCCGTTTCTGCGCGACCCTAGAGCCCGTGCCCTAACCTAGCGCGAGCCCACGCTCAGCCTGCGCCCAGCCCGCGCCCTAGCCTAGCGTGCGCCCTGCCCCAGCCCGTAGCGTCGCCCAGGCGCCCGGCCCCAACCCATCCCGTCACCCGTGCGCCCTGCCCTAGCCCGTCGCGTCGCCCGTGCGCCCTCCCCCAGCCCGTCGCGTAGCCCGTGCGCCCTGCCCCAGCCCGTCGCGTCGCCTGTGCGCCCTGCCATAGCCCGTCGCGTCGCCCGTGCGCATTGCCCCAGCCTGTCGCGTCGCCCGTGCAACGTGCGCCCCTACAGTGCAGCACGCGCCAACGTGCAGGGCAGCGCGCGCCCTAGCAGAGCAGCGCGCGCCCCTGCAGTGCAGCGCGCACCAACGTGCAGGGCAGCGCGCGCCTTAGCAGAGCAGCGTGCGCCCCTGCAGTGCAGCGCGCGCCAACGTGCAGGGCAGCGCGCGCCTTAGCAGAGCAGCGTGCGCCCCTGCAGTGCAGCGCGCGCCAACGTGCAGGGCAGCGCGCGCCCCAGCAGAGCAGCGCGCGCCACCCGGGCATAGCAGCGCGCGCCCCTGCCCAGGAATGCGCACCCCAGCCAGGAACGTGCGCCCCTGGCCAGACATGTGCGCCCCAGCCAGAAACGAGCCTCACGTACCTTCCTAGCTGCCTACACCTCCTCCTAGCCGCCCACAACTCTTCCTAGCCGCCCACACCTTCTCCTAGCCGCCCACACCTCCTCCTAGCCGCCCACACCTGAAGGGACTGCAGGACCTGAAGAGGCTGCAGGTGGCACCAACAATCCTTCTCAAAAGTCGTGGATCCAACGATCATGACCGTAACTTCGGCCCGAATCTGAAATTTTCCAAATCTCGCTTGCCGGAGATATTCCACACCTTCAAAAGGCCTCCCAAGTATGGTGCAGCAGGCGTACGCAAAGTCCCCAGCAAACGCATTGATGGGAGTGTATGGGAGGTGGTGGCTGCCCTACCGGGTCTACATCACATGGAGCTGCACTCACCTGAGCCCAGCACGGCTTCACTGCGATCCCTCTCCAACATCACGCACCTCACAACCCTCCGCATCACTACGGCACTTGACGATTCTGACCTGCTGGGATTGAGAGGCCTCTTGCTGCTCACAGAACTCAGCCTGGCTGCCTGCACGTTTGAAGCAGACCAAGCAGTGAGGTCAGTGATCCAAGGCATGACGCAGCTGCAGTCGCTGGACCTGTCGGGAACGGCCATCAGCCAAGGCGCTGCTGTGCATCTGCAAGCGCTTGAGCGGCTGGAGCGGTTGAAGCTGCAGCAGTGCAGCGGCATAAGCAAGGTGTTTGTGCAGCATCTGAGCCGGGTTTCTGCGCTGAAGGAGTTGGATTTGGGTTGCAACAACATGCAGCATGCTTGGCTGCTGCCGGTTTTGGAAGGAAAGAAGGTGACTCGGCTTGGGGTGAGTGGCTGTTGTTTTGTGGCGAAGACGTTGAAAGGGCTTCAGCGGGCTTGGATTGAGATTGACTTCGGGGGTCGGTGATTGATGTTGGGATGCATGGAACATATGAGCTATGGTGTGCATGGTGTGAAATGGTGTGTGTTGCATTGTGCATGCTGTCTGTAAGAAGTTTGAATCATGGGGTGCTACGTAGTGGTAACATCACCATGTTACATGGACACTTAGTGTTAGGGTTGTGTATCATGGTAGAGTAAGGATCTTGGATAGGATAGGATTGCCTTAGAGAGTTTTGGTAGCGGAAGACTTGTGGTAGGAACCTTATGCATAGTGAATGTAAGTGACAAGATTTATTAAACAAAATAAATAGATCTAACTAGCCATGTACTCTAAGGGGTACATTCCCTTATTCTAACTGTTTTACCGGCACTTCTACAGTGACTCTGTCCATTGATCTTCTTCTTGTTATCGAGTCGCTGCGTATAACTGTATGGACAGTTACGCCTGTTGCCATTCTTCGCTGGTGAGTCGTCGGTCCAGATGGTCAACAGTCGCGACAGTTGACTTTTGCGACTGTTGACCTTCCTGCCCTCGTCATGGGCTAATCCGATACTTCTGCAGGTGCTGCCTCGATAGTGACGGGTGCGATACAGCTGCACCTACGAGAATGCTTAAGTCGATTCCCTTCTTACTCCAACATATTGTTGACCGTTATTCGGGATCAAGAGGCTCTTAACACACCTTTAATCAACACTAGGTAGTCCCCACGGGGTCACCTCCAAGGGTCCTTGGGTGCCTGGTAGAACCAGCCCCTATCCAAGGGTCCGTGTTTGAAGAGGGATTTCCCTAAGTATGAAAATTATCATGCGTACAAGAGCTTTCCCAAACTTTGTTGCGCAGCATTCGACGACAGATTGGCTCGTGTGCAGAAAAGCTCTTCACGTCAATACGTTGATAGAGCGACTTAACTCGTCAAAGAGATTCAGAAAATATTTCCACTAGAAAGGATTGTCAACAATCAAGAACAAGCACACATTTTATATTTCGCCTAACACACATGCATAGGAAAATAGCAAAGTAGTTGTAAAACTGAATTTTGGACATTCGACATGCTGTACTTGAAAACGGTTGCTCAACTTCTTGGGCTATTGTCTTCTTCATCCTCTTGTAATAACCTGTATTCAAATTTCACTTAGGACAATTGCCCTTGCTGACTCCTCACATGAACACTCATAGCTCACATGTGCCTCCAATGTGAGCCATGCGAGCTTACAGTTGTAAAACGGATTTAACCGTTGAATGACGCGAGTAACCGAATTGTACCTGTGGCGAAATCATTCCGCAATGTGGCGTGACATTCGCGAGAAATTACCTGTCCCGCGAGTCAACGCGAAATACAGTTTTTCAACTGTAATTCCGAGCACCCCCCACGAGCCACACGCCACGACAGAAAAGGACGTGACTCGAGATTCAGTTATTCAACTGAAATCTCGAGTCAAACCTCGAGCACCCCTCGCTATCCCTTGGCACCCCCCGAAACACACGCGCACCCCTCAGGTGCGCAATCATGCACGACCAGACAAACTGGTCGTGCTGTACTGCGCGTGGGCAGGGCGATCATTCGCCCTGTCCTGTTGCGATCGTGGGCCCTGCCACGCTCGCAACAGTGCGCGAGCACACGCTCGGGCCCTCTGGATCCACACGCGAAATCAAGACCACACGCACGGTCAAGATTTCGCGTGCTTGACCAGCGCGAAAGTCAACACACTCCCCAGTCAAACTATCGAGCCCCACAAACACCCCACGATGCACCACTCGCTCGCATGAGCCACGCATGAAACATTACACACAAATGAGACTTTCACGGGAAGCTCATTTGAGGCTCATTGGAGCTTCATGAGAGCTTTCATTTGAGCTTTCATTTGAGCTTCATTTGAGCGCGTCATGGGAGCCTCATTTGAGCGCTTCATGAGAGCTTCATTTGAGCGCATCATGTGAGCCTCATTTGAGCGCATCATGAGAACAGTGAACACGAAACTGAAAATGCACAAACACAAAATGCAATGACAAATGAAAACGAAACACACAAAATGAAAGGACGAGTGCGCACAGAACACACACAAAATGCGCACACACAAAATGCAAAATGAAATGCACATCTCTCACGACACAAATTACCTTCAAACAAAACTCCCACATTTTCCATTACCGTCGGCGAATAGGCGGTAGGTTGCCGTGCAAACCATGTATTGCAGTCAACACTGTGAAGAAATGAGGAAAAATGAATTGACTAAGGGAAAGTTGGGTACAAAAGCAAACCCTAGAAAACTGTACCCCATATGTGCTACCCCACTATAGCCTACAGTAGCTATGTCATATAAATCTGACACACCCCCATAGGCAAAGTGGGGGAGAACAAGGGGTCACAAGACCAGTCAAGCAAAGCAAAGCAAGCTCAGGGTGGATCACAAAGTCACCACACATTCCGAGCACAAGTTCAAGGCCACAAGGCCAGTTCACATGCAGGATTACATATATACATAAGGCTAGACAAGCAAGAGCAGGTGTATATGTATATGCAACAGTACAAACAAGGTCAAGGGGTGAGCAAGTGAGGCAAGGTAGGCACAAGACCCAGCTGAGTACAGAAGCGCTGATGATCACAAGGCGCAAGTGCCTTGGTGAAGATATCAGCAGTGTTGGCCTCAGAGGCCACGTACGCAAGCCGTAGCTGACCACGCTGCTGTAGCTCACGAGCAAGGAAGTAGCAGAGAGCAATGTGCTTCGTTCTGTGCTCCAGTCTCTGCTCTCGACACAAGGCCAGCATGGCCTTGTTGTCTACGTACAGCACTGGAGGAGAACGAGGCGGCTCTCCGAGGTCAGTCAGCAGGTAGGTGAGCCAGCGAAGCTCCTGTGCAGCCATGGCCCCGGCGTAGATCTCAGCCTCACAACTGGAGCCGAGAACAGAAGACGAGCGGGTAGCCCGCCACGAAACAGAGCCGGAACCAAGGCTGAAGGTGTAACCCTGTGACGACCGCTGCGTAGCCTGGTCGTCAGCCCAAGAAGCGTCTGCGTGCCCAGTGAGGACCACTGGACTCTGCCCTCCAAGCACAAGCCCCATGCCCGACGTACTGCACAAGTAGCGCAACACCCTCTTCGCTGCAGCCATGTGCTCCGGTCTGTGTCTCCCAGGAGCAACATAGCGTGCGAGAATGCTAAGAGGGTATGCAAGGTCAGGTCGTGTGCAGGTCATCAGGTACATGAGGCAGCCAACAAGCACTGGGTACGGGCCACTCGACTCTACGGACTCATCCGAAGGCAGAGCTGAGAGCGAGTGGCGAGTAGGCAGAGGAGTGGCCTGAGGCGAGGAGTACGTGAAGCCGAAGCGCTGAAGGACCTGCTGCACCATGTGTGACTGAGTCAGGGTAATGGTGCGGCGTGCTCTGTCCCGGGTGATCTGCAAGCCAAGGTAGCTGCGCAGTTCACCCAGGTCTGTGCACGTGTGTCTCTTCTGCAGCTCGGACTTCACGTGGGCGAGTCCAGCAGTGTCAGCTGTGGCGAAGACCAAGTCGTCGACGTACACGAGGATGTAGAACGGCGGCAAAGAAGTGTCGGTGCGCAGAAACAGCGACGGGTCGGCAGTAGAGGGAGCAAACCCAAGAGCCGCAAGTGTAGTCCTCAGTGTGTCGTGCCACTCACGCGGTGCCTGGCGGAGACCGTAGACTGGCCGCCGGAGGCTCCACTGGGTGCCAGGAGGAAAAGACCCAGTGAAGCCAGGTGGGCGACGCAGCCAGATCTCCTCGTGCAGGCTGCCCTGCAAGAAAGCAGTGCTGAAGTCAAGAGAGTGCAGCTCGTAGTCGCGGTGAGCAGCTATGTGCAGCAGTACCCGAAGAGTGGTCATCTTCGGGGTGGGAGAGAAGGTCTGAAAGTAGTCAACTCCCTGCCGCTGACTGAAGCCACGAGCCACGTAACGCGCCTTGAAGACAGGCGGAGAACCCGGCGGCCGCTTCACCCTGAAAATCCACATGCCACTGACGATGTTCGCCCCAGGCGGGGGAACCTCGTCAACGTAGGTGCCTGTGGACTTCCAGGAAGCCATCTCTGCGTCCATAGCTGCCTGCCACTGAGAGGAGTAGGGACCCTCTATCGCCTCCGCGTAAGAGCGCGGAGTCGGGATGTCAAGTGCATCCGGGTCTCCCTCAGGGGTAAGCAGTACGGACACAAGATGAGGTGAAGCAGCAGCCAAACACTGGAACTCCTCCTGCCTGTCCTCAAGGACGTCCGTGCCAAGGGCACACTCACCCCCGACGGACGGAGGACAGACAGACTCAGACTCAGCAACAAGACTAGCAGCGTAGTCTAGACGACAGCGAGCAGCAAAGTCGACGAGCTCAGTAACTAGGGCAGACGCAGCAGTGGACTCAAAGGAAGGGTCAGTGACAACAGTAGCAAGGAGACGCGTGACAGTAGGACTGGCAGCACGAAGAGAGTCCGACTCCGGGTCAGGAAGAGCAGGAAGAGAGGACTCAGGAGGAGAAGGCAAAGGGGCACGCAGAGGAGCAGTGGACGGACGCAGAGACATCCGGTGCGTGCCAGGGACAGGAGGAGGACGCTGACGCGAACCACGACCACTAGGGCGAGCAGCACGGACAGGCGACGCAGGGCGAGACGCAGGCTCACGACGCTCAGCAAGACCTCCAGTAGGACCAGTGTAGGGAGAAGGAGCGGGCAGTGGGGAGGCCGGCTGTAACTGTAACTGTGACGGGACAGGCTGTGGACACTCGAAGGGAGGAGGAGGACC